GTGAGGGCAAAATTCCGCACACTCTGCCCCACCCCTTCCATCTGACCCACTCTGCTTAGCCACACTGGCCTCCTTGTCGTGCCCCAGGGCCTTTGCATGAGCCCTTCCCTCCCCCTGGAACACTCTCCTCCCAACCTACCCGCCCAGATATCAGTGTGGCTAGGCTCTCCCCTGATGCTTACAGTCCTCTCAGTCCCCAGGGGAGAGACCCTGCACCTGCCCTAAGTCTGTGACTGAGACCCCCGACCCCATGCATTCAAGGCCAGTCCAAGCACCCCCTGGACTCAGCCTTAAGGTTCAAAGCAAGGAGCTTGATCAAGGGTTCTCTGGCACACAGCATCCAGCTCTTTCACCCCATATAAACCTACGACTTCAGTCCAAGGACCAGGCTCCGTGGCAGGGGTCCCACCTCTTCCCCTATGAGCAGGGTCCAGAGCCCTGCTACAGCTGATCTACACACACAGTAAGCGCTCAACACGTGTGAATGGAAAGGAGAGGTGCAGAGAGAGAGATGGAAACAGAAATGTGGGCAGAACAGAGAGATAACATAGGAAGAAGGAAAGCTGAGGGAGCTGATCTCCACTAACTACACCCCCAAGACGACAGACACACAATACCCAGACTCCAGCAGATAACAGCCAGGGGCCTATAAGCAGTGACTGCCTGCAACACACACTCATCCACTGACTCAGCAGCTGGAACTCCTCAGCACCCCCTAGACCCACCACCAGCTATGAGGGGAAGAGCCCCAACAGCAGCCAGACTCCCCAAACCAAAGGCAACGAATGAACACCCAGCAGCCAAGGACAAACATTGACCTCCCAAAGCCGAGGACAAAAACTTTCCTCCCAAAGCCAAGGGCAGCCTCTGACCTTCCAGAGCCAAAAGCAAATGCTCACCTCCCAGAGCCAAGGGCAAACGCTGACCTCCCCAAACTGATGACAACAGTGACCTACCAAAGCTGATGACAACCACTGACTCAATGCCCAGCCCATGAACACAAGGTACCAGCCCATGGAACCACCCCACCCAGGAACCAGAGCTTTGTACCAGCACAGTTACCCTGGATCTTCACAACTGCTTCCCCGGGACAGTCAGGCCTCCACAGCGATGCCAGGCTCCCCATGAAGAAGCCCCACACCCTCTACAGCCAAGCCCAAGAGCAAGTACCCCTAGAGCCACTCAATCTCCGGACCCTCCCTGGCCTCCAAAATGCCATCTTCTGAGTCCTCAAGCACCGCCCCAGCCAAGCCACACTGCACAGCCCACCCCCAGCCAGTGGTCGTGGAAGGACCTAAGATAACCGAGCGTTAGCAGAGGTGCAGGCGGCCGAGGCCATGGTAGTGAATGATAGGAAAGCCCAGAAGCTGCAGCACGCAGACAGCTGAGCCATGGGTGGGGGTGACACCTACAGAAGCAGCAAAGAAACAGGACAGAGGTCAGAGCCGGGAGATGAGAAAGGGCACGAAGAGGGAAGAGGCAGCCGACAGTGATCTGCAGGTCATGGGAAAGGCCCTTCCAAAGTGGAGCTCAGCATGGGGTGTGTGACTCCAGACAGCAGCTGTGCTTGCCACCTGGCCCTAGCCCTAGCCCCTTCCCGGGGCAGCCCCTTCCTTCTCCTCCCAGGGCACTGAGGTCAGAGGAAGTAGAACCCAAGAGGAGAGAGGAGGGACCCTCAGGGTTGAGAAGCCCAAAGATGGGAATCAACAGAGACAGTAGTGGACAGAGAGATGGGGCCGAAAGAGAAGGCGGAGGCTGTAAGGGACTTAAGACAGAGAAACTGAGACGGAGCAGAGGGGACAGAGTGCGGACAGAGAGACAGACACAGGCAGACAAAGCTGGATGCCACCCCAAGAACATCCCACGCCCCCAGAATGCCGGCAGGCTCAGCCAGGTCCGTGCCTACACACGGGACTTCGCTCCTGGCTGTGTCTCGCTGAATCCTGTGAGCCTCTTGTGGCTTCCGAGCTCCTCTGTACTGGAGGGAGTCACCACACTTCCAGAAAGGTGACACCCAGGTCCCACCTGCAGCTGGCAGCTTCCCCACCGGGACCAACCCCGCACACACACCGGGTGTCTTCCAGGGACCAGAGGCTGGCTCAGGCTCAGAGGAGGTCACCAGAGGGCAACAGCCCCACTGGGGAAAGCAAAGAGAGAGGAAGACCCTCTGGGCCAGACACGGGTGGACCCACAGAAGAGGCCTGGGTTGGCCAAAGCCAGAGCCCCCTACACCTGAAGGGCTGGAGGGAGGGGAGGCCTTTCTCCTTTTACTTCCCAGGACTCTCCCCTGCTCAAACACCCTCTGTGTCTCCCCACTGCCTTTCAGGTTTTCTAATTCTTCAACCTGGATTTACCTTCTCTTTCTGGCCAAACCAGAGGCACAGAGAGATTAAGTAACCTCCCCCAGTAACTTACTCATATTTTAAATGCAATACGAGTTTTGTGAACATTAGTAAAATAGTGAAAACCATTCAGGCACAAGGAATAGGAATTGCAAAGGCCCAGAGGTCAGCATTAACATGAATATGTTTGGGGAACCCTGGAAGAGGTCAGAGCTGCTCACAGGAAAGATTCTTCAAATGGCTGTGGAGTGAATGGATTGCAGGGCACAGGACTAGGGGCTGTGAGACCTGGGGGGAGTCGTGGGTTCTGCTCCGGGCAAAAAGATAACTCAAACGGGGCAGCAGCCCGGAGCCAGGTTTCAGAAGCTGAGCCACCGCGGCTTGGGGAACACCGCCATCTCGTGGTATCTTTTTGAAACTGCACCGTCTGTCACTGGCTCCAATGGTCATTTAGTGCAAGCTTCTCCAGCATCACCCACTCAATGCACATGAGTTTGAGCAATCTCTGTAAAAGAGTGAAGGACAGATGGCCTGCTGCAGTCCATGCGGTCCCAAAGAGTCAGACACGACTTAGCAACTGAATGACATCAGCTTTCTCCAGTGTATTTGACACCCAGAGCGATCACTTTAAACACCTCCTCCCCATAAAGTATTTTCAGCAATAATTATAACATGAAACAATAATAGTAATGCCCATAAAAGAAATGCAGACAGCGAAAATGTTTTCCATTGTGATATAATACTTTATGTAACAATGTAAATAATTATCCAGGTATAACAAGTGGTTTAATAAAACTAAAATACCTGCAAACAGTACAACTTGGGAAGCCACAAAACAGTACTATTGATGTAACTTTTCTTGATTTGTTCATTCACTTGAAAAGTTAAAAAACAATTTTTGCATTTTAATGGTGTTAAAGTCAGTAACACAGTCAGTTTACTAACTAGTATGTACATTTACCAAATAAAATAATATCGCATGGCTTGCAAGCCTTCACAGCTTTAAATTTTAAAGACAAATAAAAATCTCCAAGTGGCTGCACAAAATGACAAAATGGAGGTAATTCAAGTTTGTGTCTTTATCTTCACAACTGCTGTGCTCTCCTTGTCTGTTGTTAATCTTTGCAGGAAGATACTGTCTGGCAGGGCTTAGAAACCCGCAAACAATTCCAAACCATGACAGATTTACTCTCCAAACACAGAGCTGAGAGTTTGTGTGTCTGGGGTTGACTATAAAACTGGGCGTTCTCTCAACTACCTTGCAGATAGAATGCAAAGTTCATGAAAGAATATGCTAACATGAAGCTTACATGTAAATTATTATAACTCCGTAAGCGGTATATAATCAGAGTAAGGTCTATACCTAAGTTAATAATCCCAACATCGATTCCCTGGTTTCGACAAAGCACACACATGACCAAGGTTCCGGGGCCTCCTCCTGGGTGTCCCCTGCCCGGTCCCCCACCCAGGTCTCGTGCTCAGCCTCCACACAATCCCGAAAGCCCCTGTCCCCCCACCCACACCCTATAGTTCTACGAAAGAGCCTCTGACTTTCTAGAGCTCCACAAACAAAAAGAAAGAAAATCTACCTTCCCCGAAGCTGCAGAAAATCTCCTGGCATCTCCCTGGTTTCGAGGGGGATTCATGGCCGCCCTGGAGCCCTTGGCTCTTTGAGGCCAGGGAACTGAGCATGGGGTTAACTGCAGTTGAGGAAGGGGGAGTGAGTCCAGAAGAGGCAGGGACCTGGCTCTGTTTCACCCAGCCGGTTAGTTTCTGAGCTCCAGCACCCCAAATCTCCGCGCGGGGAAGCTGAGGCAGCGAGGGCCTGGAGACAGGTCTTCTCTGGAGCGGGATTGCGCCGGGACAGAGTCCGCAACGGGGCCTCAGGTTGATAAAGATGCCCAGCTGTGACTGCCTGGGCCCAGGGAAGAGGGGGAGGCAGCTGAGTAGCTGGGACAGAATGCTGGAATCACCTGAAGAGACTTTAAAGCACAAGCTGGGGCGTGGCTGAGGGGAGGTGCCAGCAGGGTGTTTAAGTCTCTGCAGGTGATGGCTCACACGCAGTGAACATGGGCAGCACCTATTTCACGCCGTCCACAAAGGTCTGGCAGCTGGGGTCAGCAGTGACCCTGGCCCCTTAGCCCCCAGGCTCACCTCCCACAGACCCCCGACTCACAGGAACATGTTCCCAGGGCAGAGGGGTGGGAAAAGCAGCCCCCAGACCCACACAAAAACAGCTGCTTCAGGCACTTCTCATGGACCCCTTGCACTGACGCTTTCCTGGTCCTCCCAGCCCCACCCCAGAAAGATGAGGGATCCCAAACAAGGGAGAGGCTGGAATTTATCCAACGATTCCAGGTCTCACAGCCTGATGATTCCCAGAGTCTGCCTTTCTGGACCCAGAGGAAGGAGGGTCCCAGCTGTAAGCAACCCCCCTCAGCTCAGGGCTCCCCTGTAGCTTCCAGTCCAGGACTATCTTCTTCAGGTCTTGCTTCCTCCTCCAGCCAGAGGGGCCAGGTGACCAGGCTGGGAATACCAGACCAGTGTGGGCCAGAGAGAAACTGGGCCGGACCCAGCCTGGAGGTCCCGGGAGAGAGCTGAGGGCACAGGAGGAAAAGCTGGGGGCGTGGGGGCCTCAGGCCCTGGGCCGGGTGGAGCTCAGGGACACGCAGCCTCAACCCCATTTGCACAAGCGCCGGGCTCCTCCGCCTTGCTCGCCAAGCTGTAGTAGTAGGTGCGCATGCGCTGTTCAACTGCGGCGAAGTCCGGGCGGTCCTCCCACCTGTGAGGGGTAGTGGAGATCCAGGAGGCTGACCACACCCCCAGAACCCAACTGCAGCTAGTGGGTGGGCATGCACGAGGCTCAGAAAGCAGTGGGGCAGGGGTTAGTGGGTGATGGGGGGGGGGGGGGAGAATCTCCTGCGTGTAAGACAACTGCAATTCAGGGGTTGCCCTCTGGCGTAAGAGAAGGGCCGACATTCAGGATCGACAGGAAGCGTGTACTGAGTCCTGACTGCTGAAGACTTAGACTGGAGAGGTCACTTAGAGGTCACTGCTGAAGACTTAGACTGGAGAGGTCACTGAGGGTTGGGGTGACAGCTTGACTCCAGGGAGCTGGGACCCTGAGTGCTGAAGTGCTGAGCATGGGTATTTGGGCAGGGTACTTGGGTGCTAGCTGTGGGCTCACATGGATGCAAGTATGCTGCCCGGGATGGAACAGTACTGGGGTGAGGAGGAGGGTGGGTTCATCTAGTGGAGATTCCAGGTATTAATGGTACCGTGTGTGAAGTATCCATGAACTGTGTTGGAGTATTAGACACTAGTCTCTTTGGATATTGAGGTGTTGGTATATTGAGCGTTTCCTGATAGAGGCTGGCTTAATATATATTGGAGTAGGAATGATCTGATAATTTCTTATTAATTTATCATAAATTTGTTGTTCAGTCCCACAATCCTGTCCAACTCTTTGCAACCCCATGGACTGCAGCACGCCAGGTTTCCCTGTCCTTTACCATCACCCAACATAAACAGGGTGTCTATTTATTGGATTGCTTGGATGTCTGGGTATCAGTGTGACAGGTGGAATTATTCCAGTGGAATAATTGACATTGAGGCAGTAAAGGGATCAAATACTGGAATGCCTAAGCATTGCATGATTAGTGAAGGGTGACAGCTTGTTTGGGTACATGTTACCTGTGCTTGGAAGTGGAGATACTGATGGTGTTAGGGGTTAGGTGTTCAAGCACTGGACTTCAAATACATGAAGGTGGGGGATATTGAATATTTGGGGGCTTCAATGTTGCCTTAATGGGCAACTAGGTGTTGGCTGATGGGGAAAAGTGGATGGGGATATACAGTGGAATATCACCCCAGGCCCTGAGTACGGGTGTCATATTATTATATTATACAGTGGAATATCACCCCAGGCCCTGAGTACTGGTGTCATATTTTGGGTAACAGTACTGACTTGTTTGAATCTTGCAGGATTGCTTGAGTGCTGGCTGAGGGGGACTGAGGTTTTAGATGCTGGGGCCCTGGGTGTCCACAGGTAGGGTGTTGGGGTGCTAGAGCATTGTAGGGCCAATGTGTTGAAGAGCTGAGCACAGACGCAGGGGAGTCAAGGTACTGTGGGTTGGAAAGGCCATGAATTGCGTGGGTCTTTGGGTGGGAAGAGTGATGTTTGACTGTTGGACACCACAACCTCCTGCCCTAGGCCCAGGTGTCAATTCAGCCAGGTACCCTCCCACCCGCTGGTACTCACTTGTAGGTCCAGCAATCGCTCATGAGCTTGTACATCTCAGGGGGACACTCTGGTGGGCACTCCATCCGCTTGCCCTGCTCGATGAAAGCCATGACCTCCGGGCCCTTCATCTTCTGCTCAAGCCAAAGTCAAGTGCACGTGTGAGTAATCAGGGCTCCCTCCCCCAGCCCACCACCCGCCTCTGCCCACGCCTGCCTTGTAGGGCTTCTGCCCGTAGGAGAAGGCCTCCCACATGGTGACTCCATAGCTCCAGACGTCACTGCGGCTGGAGAACTTGCGGAAGTTGATGCACTCAGGCGCATACCACTTGAGCGGCCACTTCCCGGCTGAGCGGGCCTGGGGGGCGGGAGATAATGCTGAGCCAGGGCTCGGGAACCCTCCCCCGTCTGGGCATCCCAGGGCCAGGGGCTCACGGTGTAGTAGCTGTCGTCGGCACCCAGGGCCTTGGAGAGCCCGAAGTCGCTGATCTTGGCGTAGTGCCGGTTGACCAGGAGGACGTTGCGGGCCGCCAGGTCACGATGCACAAAGTTTTTCTCTTCCAGGTACTTCATCCCCATAGACACCTGGTGCAGCAGCTCTGCCACGTTGCTGACGGGGATCTCCTCCCTAGGGTGAGGGGGAAGAAGGGAGCAGCTGGGACAGGATGCCCAAGTCCCCAAGGGGGCAAAGCCCCAGTCTGATCCAGCTGAGCCTCTGTGCTTATTGTGCACCTGCTGTGTGCTAGGCATGCGGCGGGGACACACCCAGTGTGTGAACAAAACAGACACAAACTTCTGCCCTCATTCAGGCTTTAAATTCTACCCACCATGATCCCCAAACTTAATGCATCCCCTGTGTGCCCTCAGGAAGTCTCCTGGGCATCTCTCAGATCATGAAGTCAAGCTCCTGATTGTCCACAGGTGCGCGTGCGCACACACACACACACACACACACACACTCCCCTTTCACCTTGTCATGTACTCAAGCCTTGCCCTCAGCTCCTCTTTTTCACACGCAATAGTCAATCCATCAGCAAACCCTGGCAGCTCTGCCTTCAGAATTCCTCCAGTGTCCCCCAACTTCTCTCCATGTCTGCTTCTGCCACCCTGGACCGGCCCCCATCATCACTAGCCGAGACCTGAACAGCCAGCTCTGTCCTCACCCGCCCCAGCCTGTCCTTCACACACCGGCCTCAGGCCCTGCTCTCCTCTGCTCACAGCCCCCACAGCTCCCACCTCACTCAGTGTAAATGTCCAAGTCCTCCCCAGAGCCGACAAGGTCATGCGTCACCCACCTTGTCACACCCCTGCCCGTATCACCTCCCCGCCCTCCTGCACTCAGAGCCCTAATTCAGGGCTCCTCCACCACTCCAGGCACCTCAGGGCTTCGCACCAGCCGCCCACTCTTCCCTACAGCTGCACCTGGCTGCCTCCCTCAGTTTGCAGAAACCTCACATTCTCACTTCTCACCTCCCAGCCTGACATTATATACTTTATTACAATTATTATTAAGGCCTCTCTTCCTCAACCAGAATAAGGGCAAAGAGCTTTGTCTCTCTCTCCAGTGATAATCCCAAGTATTGGTAATAGTCCCCAACAGAGAAACTGCCCAGGAAACACCTGTGGAATAACTGAGTACCTGAGCTGGGACCCGTGAAGGCACGTGCTCCAGTGAGAGCTCGGGTTCAAGGTCACATGCCTCCATGAATGTAAAAGATTCTATCATGAGGATAAGAGTTTGAGGCATGAAGAAACCAAATGAAACTGCAATTTCTTTGTATTAGAAGTCGGCCAAATTTTTTTTCTCTAAAGGGCCAGAGAGTATTTCAGCCTTTGCAGGACACACATGGTCTCTGTTACATAGTCCTTTTTTTTTTTTGGAGACCTTCGAAGATGCAAAACCAGGCTATAGAAAACAACCCTGGCTGCAGTTTTCTGACCCTGCTTTAGGTCAAAGACAATCAACCATCACAGGGGATCTTGAATTGGCAGGGAGAGCTGGGGTGGCAGAAACAACAGAGCTAATACTTACAAAGCTCCTACAAGCAGTGCTAGGCCCTGTTCTGAGCACTTTATAAATATCAGCTCATCTGACTTCAAGGGCCCCTGAAGGGGGCATTGCAGTTTTTCAAATGAAGAAACTGAGACACAGACGAATTAAGAGACCCGCCTGGTGTCACAAGAGTTAGTGACAGCTGAAACTCAAACCTGAGATCAGATCTGCCAGGGGTGTAAGTGTGGGCGGCAGGTGTAAATGTGTCTACAAACATGGGGAAATGAGTGTGGCGCACACCTCTGGGTGGACAGGCTCAGCCCCCAGTCCCAAACGCCCCGCCAGCCCAGGGGCTCACTTCCTCCCGGCCAGGAACTTGTGCAGGGGCCCACCGCCAGCCATCTCCATGACCAGCATGAGGGCCTCGGCCTGGCAGACTCCAATGAGCCGCACGATGTAGGGGTTGTCCAGCTGGTGCATGATCTGTGCCTCCCGCATCATCTCGTCCTTGTCCGCCTTCTCCGTACTCTGTTTCAGCACTTTGATGGCCACGTCGATCTGCTTCCTGCCGAGAGACACATGGAGGGGCGCCGCCGGAGCCCGCACGGGCCTGGACCACGCCATCATCCCCACCGGGCCTGCCTCTCTCCCTCCCAGACTTGTGTAGCGGGTACTGTGGTCTGCCGCCCAGACCTCCCCGTCACTCAGAGCTCACAGCCAAGCCCCTCACCAGGAAGAACCGGTCCAGTCTCACCCGCCCCAGGGGCAGCCTGTACCCAGTGACCAGCGTGTATCCGAAGGCCAATCAATGGGGGAGGCGAGGGCTGGCCCCTCAGCAGCTGCCCTGCGATCAGCCAAGGGCGCCACTGCAACTGCAGCTAGCCCAAGCGCTCCCTGCCCCGGGCCAGCGCCTCCCACTTCCTCTCGGACTGTCCTGAACTCTCCCAGGTAAGCCCCCTCACAGTCAACTGAAGTCTCATCCTGGCTCCACCCCACAAGGCCCGGAGAGGCCACGCCCGCTCCGTGCCACCCACGGCGGTTCCCCAGCCAGGGAGGGGGCTTACTTGCGCATGCGGTAGACGCCCTGGCGAACTGAACCAAAGTTGCCGCAGCCGAGTTCGATGTCAGCCATGAGGAGGTTCTCACGCTTCAGGAAGAGCTTCTTGTTTTTGAGCTCCTCGGGGTCGCTGTAGGGGCTCTCGTAGACACTGGTGTCCATGGGCATCGTTCGCGGCTTCTCTGAGGACAGTAACCGCGCTGGGCACACACACAGGTGTGCACTCCCAAGTCAGGAGCAGGGAAGGCGACAGGGGTGGGAGGAGGACAGGGCAGCCTTGCGCCCTCCAGGCACACGCGCCACAGGTCACACCATGCAGAGCATGTGTGTGCATGTGCACTTGTGTGCGCTCCTGGTCGCACCAACTGTGAAGCCACATCTAATGTGCACGTGTAACATGTGTGCACCTGCGTGTTCACACATGTGCACCCACAAATTCTCTCACCCATGTCTCCGTGTGTGATAGGGGTCCTAAAGTGTGTCTACACAAGCAACCATTGGTGTGCCAGCTGCCGCGTGCACATCTGTGCGTGTGTGCACACTGACACGTGTGCACACTGACACATTTGCACACGTGTCATGCCCACCCCTGTCCATGTATGAACCACACAGCCATGTGTACAAGGACTCCAGGCTTGCATCCATACATGAAACACACGAGCATCCGTGGCAGGCATGTGAGGTATATGGGCTGTGGTGTCAAATCCCAGCTCCCCCCCGGCCCGCTCTGGGACCTACAGTCCCGGCCCTCCTCTCTCTCCTGTGGTTTGTCAGGAGGACTCTGCACAGCTCACACGCTCGGTGTGCTAGGGCGTGAGTGGCACACAGGCGGTGCTTCTGGATGTGTTTCTACCCCCGGGGTTGCCTGGGGGTACTCCCCGTGTGTCAGCATGCCCCAGGCACATGCATGCGTGTGCAGGCGTGATACGTACGCCCCCGTGCACACCCACCTGCAGGCACACTCTGCACAGGGCAACCCAGCCCACTGCCAGAGGCCAGGCCTGGCCTAGGTCCCTCCCCGACACACCCCAGGGCCTAGCCAGGAGCCCGATCTCAGCCTGACACGAGCCCCCACACACCTTCACCTCTGCCGGCTCACCTGGTTCAGGGGTATATCCATCTGAGTTGAGAGTGTCGATCCGTCTCTGAGGTAAAGGTCATGGGGTCAGCAGGGCCTGGGCTGGGGGCACCCAGCCCCTCTCACGGGACCACATCCTCTGAGGACTCCCAGGGACAGTGCTCAGGGGGACCCTCTTCTGTTCCATGGCAGCCCCACTCTTCCCTGCCTGTCCCACCCTGGGAACAGGACCCATCGCCCACTGTGCTCCATCCCCGAGGCCCCTGACTCACCTGGGTGAAAGTGGACGGGTGGGCGGGGAGGGTAGGAGCAGCGGCCCCTGGGGGAGCAGAAGGGACAGTGAGGAGGTGGAGCCGTGGTCTCCCGCCTCCCCCCCCACCCCCACTGCCGCCCCACTCACCTGGGCTGGCGCTGCTGTTGGGACAGGCCTCCTTCAGGCAGTAGATGAGTCCATCAGCCTTCAGCTTCAGGTACTCCACCAGCTGTGGGGGGTGGGGTCAGGGCTGGGACTCCCCCTTCCCCAGGAGCCTGAGCACCCCCCAAACAGTCTCTCCACTACAACAGGGCGGGCGGGTGGCTTACCTGCCAGAGTGTGTCAAACTTGGTCCCCTCGGGAATGCAGTATTTGCCCGCCTTGTCCTGGCTGATGAGGTAGTGGTACACAGTTTTCCCATAGATCAGAGACAGTGCGTACGTGCCCAGCTCCTTCCGGGGTCTCAGCCTGGCAGAAGGAGGAGGGGGTGTCACCCCGACAACCACCTGGGCCCCTGGGGGTTCCCTCCTAATGGAACTCAGTGCCCACACATTATACTCTACGGGCTCTGCACCCCAGAGCCCCATGGAGAAGTGGCAGGGGTTGTGGGGACCAAGGTCACGCCCCGCTTGACCTCCAGACCTACTGGTAACAGACTCTGGGTAGGGCTAGGGGAGGGGGCACCAGGGCGACCAGAGAGGAGGACCATGTCCACAGTCGTCCAAGCATAGGCATGGGACCATCCACAGGGGAATATTGGACCACCTGTGGTGGATTTTCAGCCCTACAGAGCTGAGTACTCAGCCACCCCCAGCTGGATACTTGGCCATTTGGGGGGCAACACACTGGTTCTCCATGGCTCAACATCTCACCACCCATGGCTAGACACTTGGCCACAGTGGGTGGGGGAAGATAGTTGGCCACTCATGGTGGGATATTTTTCCATCTATGGTGGACACAGAGCCACTCATGGGGGACACACAGCGTTAAGACCATTCTCCTGGGGAAGCAAAGCTATTTCTATACATTGAGCGATAAAGGTAAGCACAGGTCCATGGCTAGATCATAGGGCACCTTCATACAAATCAGAACAAGTCACCTCATCATCACAATAGACTCATCAATTATCATAACAGATGACCTTTAACAGAATGAGACCCTTGATTGTACTCTTCTGGAAATTTGCCAAAATAAATGTTAAGATCTTCCATGTCTATGAATGGGCATGGAGCCCCTCAAAGATGGTGACTTCATGCAGTAAGAACCTGCCCAACCACACACATGTGCGTGTGCATGGACGCACACAGACACACAGGCCAGTTTAGGCACCCCGCACCCTCCCATCCCATGGCAAAACCAGTCAGCGTCCTGGCACAAGGTTCTATTCCAAGGTTAAGTGTAGCTTTCCAGCAGAGGAGGGAGGGCAGCTGTTCCTGGGGTCTCTAGCACTGTGGAAGTTGCAGACAACTGACCAATAATCTAGAGGACTGAACTGACTTACACGAGAGTCGGCCAGCAGCATGCAGCAGGAAACAGTCATGGGATAACCCATGTGGGTACCCTCAGACCACACACTCTCAGGGCTTGGGTCCTGCCCATGCATATCCATTCAATGGGCAAATATTTACTAAGTGTTGAGAACATGCCAGGCACTGTTCTAAGGGTAGGAGTCCAGTGGTGAACAAGACAAATGCGAGTTCACCTTGCAACCCTTCCTTAGGCCAAAGGGACAGAGAAATATCCCTTAAATCTCCATGGCAAAACCTGAGTGAAGAATGGAGGGGTGACTGTGAATATCCCATCCACTCCCAGATAGCAAGTTCCCAAAAGAACAATTCAATGAAGGCTGACATGGTTCCCAGGCCAGCTCACAACATTCGGGGACACCTGAAGAGACAGGAAACAGGGTATGTTGGGGAGCAACAGGGGAGCACCAAAGTCAAGGAAGAGAATCCTACAACAAACTAAGAAGTGCAAATATCCCACAGAAAGGAAGGAGCTTCCATAACTAGACTGGTAGGCTGACCTGGAGGTAACGGCCTCTAATTTCTAGTTCTCTCCTTTTGAGAAGTGAAAATACCTCATAAGTTCAAACTCTAAGATTTTTGAACTGACAACAAAAATTCAATGCCCAGCCACTCACCTGCAAATGTGTGTGGAATACTGAAAAAAAAACACAGCCCCAATATTAGGCATTTCTTCCCATCAACAGATGGACTCTAGTTCTGTATGTTTTGAATCAGGGCTTGACCACATGACTTTCTGTGGCCAATAAAACATTAGCAAACAGGACACAGGAAGAGACTTGAAAAATGGTTGAGCACTGGGGCTTGCCTGCCCTTTTTTGCTTTTCCTGGCAACCCTGCAACCACCACAGAAATGAGTCCATGCTAGCCCGCTGGGGGAGCCACACAAAGGAGAACGCAGGCACCCCAGCCTGCCAACTGCCAGACTTGTGAGTGAGGCCATCCCACACCGTCCAGCCCCAGGCAACCCTCCAGTTGTGACCACACAAACAAGTGCAAAGGAAAGCAGCTGAAGAGCCACCCAGCTGAACTAAGCCCAAAGAGCCAACCCATTGAATCAAGGATGAATAAACAACTGGCATTTTAAGCTACAGCACTTTAGGCTGGTTTGTTATACAGCAAAGGCTGACTGATGCCCTGTCTTTGGGATGAGACATAAGCGTTCACAAAAGAGCAGCCACCAGTCCCATATGGGCAAAGACACTGGTGTGTTCACCAAATACATTTCAATACCACAAATTTGACTTTGTTTACTAAAAATCCACCAGTTGGTGGCAGTTCTCTGTCCTTGAAGTTCAAACCTGAACTTAAAAACTAGAGGTACGGGCTAACACATCAACTTCTATCTCCACTCTTAAAATAAAATATAGAGGGCTGCCCTCTGGCTCAGTGGTAAAGAATCCACCTGCCAATACAGGAGAGACGGGTTTGATCCCTGAGTTGGGACAATCCCACATGCCACAGAGCAACTAAGCCCATGTGCCGCAACTATTGAGCCTGTGCTCTGGAGTCTGGGAGCTGCAACTTCTGAGCCCACATGCCGCAACTACTGAAGCCCAGGCACCCTAGAGCCTGTGCTCTGCAATAAGAGAAACCACAATGAGAAGGCCATTCACCACATCGGAGAGTGGCCCCCACTCTTTGCAACTAGAGAAAAGCCCGTGCAGCAACAAAAACCCAGCACAGCCAAAAATAGATAAATATTAACAAAATAATATATGGAACTGGATGATGGTGATAAAAATATGCTACCATTTATGACTATACTTGCTCAATTCTTCAATATTTGTCCTTTCATCTTCACCACGTTCTCCACAAGATACCCACCGTGTGCTATAATTACCCACATTTTGCACATGAGGAAGCTGAGGTTCAAGGAGATTACATCTCTTGCCTCAACTGTACAGTTGGTATGGGATAGATCCAGGATGTAAACCCATTTCTGACCCTACAATTGATTGCTACCTGGGTCTGACAGATTCTCTGTGCACCTCCAGCAAGTTGCTTCTCCTCTGTGTACCTCAGTTTCCTCACATGTAAAATGAAAGAACAAAGCTAACTCAGACAGTCTTATCCTGAAAAGGGCTCCAAAAGTGAGGTTCAGGATTAACCATGATCTCCTATAAGTGTGAGCCACTCAGCTGTGTCTGACTCTTTGTGACCCCATGGACTATAGCCTGCCAGGCTCCTCTGTCCGCAGGATTCTTCAGGCAAGAACACTGGAGTGGGTTGCCACGCCCTTCTCAGGGGATCTTCCTGACCCAGGGATTGAACCTGCATGTCCTGCACTGCAGGCAGATTCTTCACTGTTTGAGCCGCCAGGGAAGCCCATGATCTCATATAACTGTCTGCAAAATCTTTGGGGGTAAATATGTATTGGGGATTATGAGTAGTGTTCAGCTTCAGTACAATTTCCAAAGGGGCCTGTGGTCCATTAAGAAACACTTAATGATATAGTCTTGAAGGCCCTTTCCAGGGTTCAGGTGTCTTTTTCAGTTGAATCAATCAGGACCACAAATGCTGCAAACAGGCAGAAAGGAAGTGAGCTTTGGCAGCAAAGAGCATTCGGTATAATTCCATCCATTTGCCAGCAGCTCTGAACAGTGATCAGTGATAAGTATGGCCCTGGTCTTGACTCCTGGCCACAGGGGCCTGTGACTTTCCATCACACCTGCACCCTCATTGCAGAACTAGACCAGTCCTGGGCTTATCCCTGGCATCATGATGAGCCAGGGGTGTTCCTTCATGAGATTTTGTGCCTACTGCTTTGACCTTCAGTTCCTAACTATCCACATATTGAGAAAGCAATTATTGGTGACAGGAAACACAAGAAGAGCCTACAACAGCTTCTGTCCAGAGCATGCCTTGCCTAATTGTCCAGGAGTCTGGCTCATTGTAGCGGCTCTTGGTCTCAACATGTCCCTCCCTGAGTCATGGCCCTCATAATGTCAGTGCCCCAGCTGTTTCTGAACCCCAGCATCAGCCTCAGTCTATACTGTATCCAGATCCTAGCTCCCTCAGCTTCAGTCTTAGAAAATAGCCTTAAGTTGTTCAGAAGCCATCTTTGCAGCTGAGTATTATCTATAACATGCATTCAAGAATTCCCTCAGAAGCTTTGCAAACTCCACTTCAATTTACAGCCTAGCTTTTTTACGCAGGGTGAAAAAAAAATATTGTATTATTTGACAATAGTATTTTATTATTATTACAAGAATCTTGTAGAGGGATCCCTGCAGATAATCTGGTGCACATGCTCAGGCCTCACAGGGGAGGGGAAATCAAGCGGAAAAGGTCAGTTCCTCCAAGTGGGATGGCCCTGGGAGAGGAACAGCCCTGGGGGAGGTGGGTGAGAGCAAGGATTCAGCCAGGCAGGATCTCAGGCCAAGTAGAGACCATGAGAAGGGAGGCCCTCAAGAATTCACATCTTAGGGGAGGATGCTGTGCTTCCTGAGGCCACAGGAAAGAGACAGGCACCAACTTTCTCTCTATGACCTCAGCTGACATCTGGATAACACCTGCTTGATAGAGGAACCCAGGTCCTGACCAGAAAGAGCAGCCCCAGCACAGGGCTGTGAATAGCTTTAGACAGACTCTTTCATAATAACTAACTCATAGACAGCCACATGGTTCATCCACGCCTCAGGCTAAGGCAGAGATTTACCCACATATACTAACATTCAGTGCAGTTTTAGTATCTGCCAAATACTTGACTTTTGTTTATTGTTGTTTAGTCACCAAGTCATGTCCAACTCTTCACAACCCCATGGACTACAGCACACCAGGTTTCCCTGTTTCACCATCTCCCAGAGTTTGCCCAAGTTTATGTCCATTGCATCGGTTATGCCATCTTGCCATCTCGCCATCTGTCGCCCGCTTCTGTTTAAGACCGCTTAACACATTAATTGGTGTTTTCCCCTAACAGGTCCTTGAGTTAGTACTATCACCATCCACAGAGCATTCAATGCTCCCCAGCGCTCCTACCTCACTCAGGGTCAAAGTCAAAGTCACCTCCCTGGCCTCACCCTCTCCCACTCCATGCATGCATGGGTGCTAAGTTGCTTCAGTTGTGTCCAACTTTGTGTAACCCCATGGACTGTAGCCTGCCAGGCTCCTCTGGCCACGGGCTTCTCCAGGCAAGAATACTGGAGTGGATTGCCATTTCCTTCTCCAGGGGATCTTCCCAACCGAGGGATTGAACCCACGTGTCTTATGTCTCCTGCACTGGCAGGCAGATTCTTCACCACTAGTGCCACCCGGGAAGCCCTCCCACTCCAGCTGTCACTTACTCAGCTCCAAGCACACTGGCCTCCTCACTGCTTCTGGAACATGCCAAGAACCTCCTCCTGGTCTGAGTACTTGCCAGGAACACCTCCTAGAGAGCTCACAGCCCACTTATCACCTCCTTCGGTTCTTAACGCAAAAGTCACCTTCTCTGGCCACCTAAGCTCAGCTTGCAACCCCCTGCCCGGCTCCACACACGGCACTTGCCACCATCTGACATACTCTATGTTTCAGTGACTCCTCGTTTTTTTGTCTGCCTGCTCCTCAAGGACACTGGATTTGTGTCTGTCTTATGCACTGCCATGTCCTCAATGCCTGGAACAGTGCCTGGCACATAGTAGGCGCTCAGTAAATATTTGGTGAATGCAGAAGAGTTAATGCAAGCAAGCAGTTACGATACTTGCCCAGCAAGCCCAGCTGCTAAGTAGCAGACGCTGGCTTTCAACCCAGGCCTCCCAACTCTGAGTCACTAGCACTTGTGAGCACAGGCACACTCCCTCAATACCCACCTGCTCACTGAGGTCCACCCAAGCCTCACCCCCCCCCAAAACCCCAGGCCCCAAGCCCCACATACAGGAACTTGCCGTCGGTCTGGGAACCCGAGTAGAGTTTGCGCTCGGCCTCCTCGCGCGTCAGGCTGCTGTGGTACCAGGGCATCCGTTCGTGAGCTGTCGTGGCAATGAGCTTCTCCACCTGGGGTGCCTGGCTGATGATGGCTTGCTCCAAGGCCTCGCCCTGGGGAAGGGAGGGTGAAGAAGACCTGTGAGTGTCGTTAAATGCCCGCCACAGGACCCCTCTTCCATCTCCTGGACACTCCCAACTCAGGCGCGCCTAGGACCTAAGTCTTTCAGGCTGATGAGGACAGCCACCCCTCCTCTCATCTCCGTGGTCCCGCTCCAATCCATCCAGGCTCCAGGCATAGGCCACGGCCCAGGCCCCGCCTTCTCGTAGGCCCCACGCTCATCTCCCACTTGAAGGAAGACCTGACACTGGTAATCGGGCAGTGCAGGCTGTCGAAGACCACAAGCCACTGCCCCTGTGGGCCAGCCTACCCCAGGGCGCTGCTCCCAGCCCAAACCCCCGCTCCTTGGGTCCCGCTCCCAACCTCGTCCGTCTCGGACTCAGAGCGACCTCAACTTTCCCCGACTTACACTTTGCCTCGGATAAGCACCATAGCATCGCTCAGGCCCCTGCCTCCGAGGTCTCCTCCTAGGTCCTGCCCCCAACCAGGTCCCATCCCTCTAGCATCTAAAACGGGCGCAGCAAAGCACAGCGCAGGCTGGCAAAGACTGCCGGTCTCACCAAGACCCATAGCTCCCTCGGCCCCAGGTCCCGCCCTCCCCGGCCCCACCCTCTCAAGGCCCGCCCCTCCGGCTCCGCCCCAAGCCCCTCCCCCAGCTCCGCTCTCAAAAGACCCGCCCCCTCCTGAAACAGCTCCACTCTGGCCAAGCTCCCCCAGGGCCTGCCCCCCGGACCCCGCGCTCTCACCTCCAGCTTCCAAGTCTGGCGCACGTAGTCGCGCACCATGGCATCGCGAAGGTTGTCGAAGACCCCGGGCTGCGGCTCGAGCCCCGACGGCCGGTTGCATGGCTTGCGCAGGTTGCAGGGCAGCCCGTCGGGGTCGCGCGAGTAGAACTCGCAGAGCTCAGCCGGGCCGCAGTGCGCCTTTCCGCCCGCGATGGCGTATGTGCCGTTGAGCTGGCGCTCGATGGGGAAGTGGTGGAAGCGCACTTCGTGCACGAGCGAGAGCACGTAGCCGCCCAGCGAGCGCAGGCACTGCCGCAGCAGAAAGAGCCCGTCGGCCATGCCCGCCAGCTTCAGGTGCTCCTCGGCCTCGGCGCGCGAGATGCTGCCGTAGAAGAAGGGCAGGTGCGCCGCGGGGTCCGGCATCGCCGCCGGCGCCCTGGGCAGGGTGCGTGGCCTTGCGCCTCTCCAGACCCTGTGGGTTCGAAACGGGATTGAGGGCACGTCAGGGCCTTGGTTTCCCTTCCTGAACCCATCCATTGGACCCAGAGATAGGAGGAGAGACCCCCTCATTAAAGGGCATCCTTGCAGCACAGCTGTGTGGGCCAGTTGTGCAGAGCCTGACGTGTGCCGGAGTCAAATTGGAAAAGAGCCTTACCCTGCTGGGACTGGGGAGTCCCAAACCAGCCTTTGACTTTTCAGGCCTAGTACGGAGCACCGAGGCACCCCTCACTGGCCTGCACACACACGCATCGGGCACATCTATCTCCCAAACACGTGTTGGATTCTTATTGTGTTTCAGGCTGGAGATGTGGGTCAATAAGACAGATATGGCCTCTGCCCTCCCAGAGATGACAGTCTGAGGGAGAGAGGATGCAATAAACAAAGAAGAAACAAAAATAATAATTACAGATTGAGGTCAGTGTTTTAAAGGAAGTGGAGTGAGACCAAGAAAGAAGCCACTGTAGCCAGGGTGGTCACAATCTCTGAGGAGGTAGCACATGAGCTGAGATCTGAAGGATAAAGAGGAACCCACTTCTCAAAAAGCATCAGGCAGAGGGAACAGCAAGTACAAAGGCCCTGCAGCTGGAACAGCCTTTGCTCACCAAAGGAGCTTGACTCCAGTAGCCTTCCACAACCTGAGAAATGCCCCTTTGCCCTGCCCCCTCTCCCTTCAGGAACTGAGTTTGTAGAAAGCAGAAACCAGCTCGAAGCTGTGGCTTTTCCAGTAGTCATGTATGGATGTGAGAGGTGGACTATAAAGAAGGCTGACAGCCAAAGAATTGATGCTTTCGAACTGTGGTGTTGGAGAAGATTCTTCAGAGTCCCTTGGACTGCAAGGGGATCAAACCAGTCAATGCTAAAGGAAATCAACCCTGGAGATTCACTGAAAGGACTGATGCTGAAGCTGAAGCTACGGTACTTTGTTCACCTGATGCAAAGAGCCAACTCACTGGAAAAGACTCTGATACTGGGAAAGATTGAGGGCAGGAGAAGAAGCTGGCAACAGAGGGTGAGGTGGTTGGATGGCATCATTGACTCAATGGACACGAGTTTGAGCAAACTCCAGGAGATTAGTGAAGGACAGGGAAGCCTGGCGTGCTGCAGTCCATGGGGTGGCAAAGAGTCAGACTGAGCCATTGAACAACACATAAACTAGTTCAGATAAAAATATATTAGGATTTAACATCAATGTGAACTTTGATATGGCCATTAAACAAAATAAAGTGTGTGACTGGAAAGTATGACCTCTTGTGGTGAGGAGGAATTAAGGACATTTAAATAAATAGATATCTAGAAAGGCAGATAACTTAAGATTGCCCACCTTCAACTTTCCACAGTGATGGTGATGTCTGATATCTTGAGAAGCACTGGGTTACACAGGTGTCTGAGTCGCTCAAAATTCAGACGATGTACCAACTTGTTCATTTCATTGTATTTGGGCCTCTCAATTTTACAAAGCACCATAAGAGACATCCCTGGTGGCTGAGTGGTTAAGAATCCGTCTCGCAAAGCAGATGACACAGGTTCGGTCCCTGGTTGGGTAACTAAAATTTCACATGCCGTGGAGCAGCCTAGCCCTTGTGCCACAACTACTGGGCCCACACACTCTGGAGCCCAAGGGCTACAACTGGAGAGCATGTGCCACAGTGAAAGAGCCCGCACTACACGATGAAGATGCTGAGTGCCTGTCACAACTAAGACTGATGCAGCCACATTTAAAATAAATTTTAAAATATATTTTTTAAAGGCACCATAAAATATTGAACCCCAGTCAATGATCTGTGTGCAGAAATATTTAGGTGTGATGGGTAGTGATGACTGTAATTTATTTTGAAAGGAAGGCATCCAAAAACAAAAGTTGATGTATGGATAAGTAGACTGATATAGTTGAGTCTTGCTGTCTACAATATTTCTATAAGGTATTGAATGAGGAAGTACTAAGCCATTGCTTCTAGAAGAAATTCAGGGTTAAGTTCAAGTCTCTGATCACAAAATTTTCATCAACAGATCAGTATATAACCTTGTTTTATTTACTTCTGTTTAAAGACACCTTACATAATTATATTGACTCATTAGCATTGAACTCTTGGCCAACAGCCCTATAACTATAAGCTTATTCAACACGTACTTTTTCTGGGAGGCATAGCTCAGCCTTCCTGCACTTAGGGACACTAAACAGCACCTCAGTGTTGCCCTTGGGGACCATTTACACAGTGAAATTACGGACAAATAGCACAAAATGTGGTACCAAATAGACTGTGAGAAAGAGACTTGTTTACAATATGAGCTGAAACAAGAAGGCAATGCATTGCCTTGTTCAGCCTCAGCAGGAACCAGCACGTGGGTTGACAAATTTCACACCGCTTTGCACATGCCCTCCAACCGTGAAAGTGCGCCGAGCATGAGCTTGGAGGTTACAAATAAACTTCAGCAAGCAGGTGAGTTGGCAGATACAGAATCCAATACTAATAAGGATCAAGTGTATGTGATGAAGCAAATATAGCAAAATTCCACTGTAGAATCTAAGAGGTAGATAATTTGTACAACGAATTGTTCTCATTTTCTGTATGTTTGTAAGTTTTTATATAACGTTGAAAAAAGTATGCCCATAACAGTTTCTGGTCGTTTCTCTACTAAGATGGGTCCAGTTAAGGCCACCCGGGCATAGTTTTGCACTCAAGGAAGGGTCCTCGGGCACCCTTCTTAGTTCAGCAATTATGAGCAGGGGTGGGAAGAAAGCGTTTGTGGATTGAGAAAGGCTGCCTTTCCCCGGTGTTGAGGAACACGCAAAGATGGCGCTGGGCCTGAGCGCGAATCATCCGAGGCCTGAATCGGGGCAGCCAGAGGAGGGGCCAGAACCAGCATTCTAACCAGAAGGCTTCTGGCACTGGGGTTGGGAGGGCCAGAGGCGCGGGGCAGGCCCTGGATGTCCCAGTAGTTACAGGCAGGTGATTAACTGGGGGCCAGGAGAGGCAATCACCATCCCATTTATTGTTTTTGTTGAGTTGCTAAGTCGTGTCAGACTCTTTTTGACCCCATGGCCTGTAGCCTGCCAGGCTCCTTTGTCCATGGAATTCTCCAGGCAAGAATACTGGAGTGGATAACCACTTCCTTCTCCAGGGGATCTTCCCAAGCCAGGGATCAAACCTGTGTCTCCTGCAATGGCAGGAGGCTTCTTTACCGCTGAGCCACCAGGAAAGCCCCCATCATCCCTTAAGAGTGTTTAACGGGTTGGAAGACTTCCCTGGTGGCCCAGTGGCTAAGGTTCCGAGCTCCCAATGCAGGGTTGCGGGGGAGAGGGCGGCGAGCTTGATCCCTGGTCGAGGTATTATCTCCCACATGCCTCAACTAAAAATCCTGCAGCAACTAAGACCTGGCACAGCCAAATAAGTAATAAAAATTTTTAAATAAAAAGCATCAGTTCAAAATTAATAACCAACAAGGACATGGAACTTTATAGGACATTGAACTCTACCCAATATCATGTGGCAGCCTGGATGGGAGGGGCATTTGGGGGAGAATGGATGCACGTATATGTATGGCTGAGTCCCTTCAATGTTCACCTGAAATTATCACAAAATTGTTAATCGGCTATGCCACAATACAAAATAAAAATGTTAAAGTTTGAAAAAAAAATAGAGAGTCAGGATGGCTTCTAGGTATTCATCCTAGAAAAATGGAAACAGGTTCACACAAAAACCTGCACAGGATGTTAACAGCAGCTCTGTTCATGATTGCCAACATGTAGGAAGAACTCAAAGGCTCCCCTGGTGGCTCAGATGGTAGAGATTCTGCCTGCAGTAAGGGAGACCCAGGTTCGATCCCTGGGTTGGGAAGATCAACATTTTCCAGCAGGTGAAGAAAGTGGGAGTACATCCCACATGGGATCCTACTCTATCATGAAATGGAAGGACGTGGTGATACACACACATGAATGAACCTGAAAGGCATCATGCTAAGAACAAGGGGCCAGACTCAAGAAGCTACAAACCATCTGATTCCATTCAGAACTGCAGAACAGGTGGAGGCTGCCAAGGCTGCAGACCTGCTGGGAAGTGGGGGTGTCGGAATAAGGACTGCTTACAAAGGGGTAAGAGGGAATTCAGAAGAATAGCCTGTATCTTAAGATAGTTTCTCAGCTGTATGCCTTTGTCAAATCTTACAGAGTTTTTCACTAAAAGGGGTAAATTTTACTGTATGTAAATGATACTTTATTTTTTAATGTAAATAGAGGAAAGGCAGCAGGAAACTATAAACATGATGTGCGTGTGTGTGCTCAGTCGTCGCCGACTCTTTGTGACCCCATGGACAGTAGTCTGCCAAGCTCCTCTGTCCATGGGGTTCTCCATGCAAGAATACTGGAGTGGGTTGCCCTTTCCTCCTCCAGGAGATCCTCCAGACCCAGGAACTGAAACTGCATCTACACGTCTCCTGCATTGGCAGGCGGATTCCTTACCACTGCACCACCTGGGAAGCCCACATATAGATATAGCAGGCACTAAAATATTAGAAAGGGAAAGAGCAGGCTTTCTATACTCCTGTCATTATCTGCTCCCCCCACCTCCACCTGGCTGCCCTCCAGCTACCAAGATATCAACACCTGATGGGCACCAAGCACCCTCTTCGAGGCTGGGTCCCCTGAGCGATGGACATTGTGACTGCCCCCACTCCTGCTTGAGCATCGCGGCTCTCGAGTCCTTCACCAACCCCCCAGCTTGCCTCCTTCCTCTCTGATGGCTCCTGTTCTCTCTCCTTCCCCATCCTCTGTTCCCAACTCAGGCCATTCTGTCTGCCTACCCACGCATCTGCTCCTACCTGTCTGGTCCAGATCTCTTCCCCTGTGGTCTCTTTCTGCTACTATCACCTCCTTTGATCTCCACCAGCTGTTTTCTATTAATAAAACCGGAGATCCAGATCTAACT